AGCAATACATTCCGGAGAAGTGAAGGCCATTTGACGAAAGACGAGAATTTGAAGAACCCAACCGAATTTCGAGGCGCACTTTCGAGACAGACTTTAGTGTCTGAAACAGCGCGTCGCAGCCCTTGGGCGCCGTATAGATAACACAGAACAATGAAACGAAGACTGAATTCTATGTATTCATTGGAACAGAAGACATTTTTCAGCGATCAAAGAAAGTTGCCAGAAACGGCTCTCTAAAGCTCCGAGATGGAATAATACTGAAGTTCCCAAACCAAGATGAAGGAGCTTACTGGATAACAGAAGAGGAAGGAAGTGTTGTGATATGCCTCAAATGTTCTCGCCTAATATTACACAGAGATATATTCTTAATTCAGACAGGAAAACGGTGATTTGGAAAGCTCCAAGTACTGATGAGATAGAAAACTTTTGGTGTTTCAAACTGGTCAAACCTGGTGTTAGAAGGTGTTTGGTGCAAGTATTTCCCTTGTACTCATGCGCTTCTGGACATGTGGTTTCAATCCGCAGTCAACGATCTATCATACTGGCGTCTTTTACTGCAGGAGTTACATTTATAAGTCCAGCGAAACTAAGACTCCGAGAAACGATTGCCCTACCACATGTCTCCCCATAGCATACGAGGTCTTTACATCTGTGCTAGTCAGTAGGCTGAATACCTATCTTAAACCAACAATCTTCTGGCACCAGAACAAAATGTTTGCAGAAAGGGTCCTCCGGATTGCAAAGAATTATTGATAATAGTGCTGTAGTCAATCAAGCCAAAAAAAGATAAACAATATTTCTGTAGGATGGATTGATTATACCAAGGCATTCGACTCGATACCTCATTTGTGGATTTTGTATGTCCTTCACCTCTAGAAAGTAAATGCCCAGAATGTGAACTTAATCTAACACTGCATTGCAAACGAGGTATTTCTTCAAAGAAAGTCTTAGTCCCTTCTAGTTCTTTCTAGGTCTAAACCCTCTCAGCAAAATGTTAAGAGATTCAGGCAAGGGATATTAAATAAACAAAAAGCTCCATATCCTCATTAATTATCAGTTCTATATGGACGATCTCAAGTTGTGTGCCAGAGAACCAGCCTCTTTGCTTGAACTTGAACTTCAGCGACTGTAATTGGAGTGTGGCTTTGATGAATGCGCTGAAGTGCACGTGAAAAGAGGGAAAATCCTTGATCCTGACAAACCTATCTTGATGTCCTACATATCCAAGAGCTTGGGCAAGAGCATACCTATATTTAGACCTGCATTAAGTTTGAGCACAAAAGAAGCAAAGATGAGGCGTGATATTCAAAATAGTCTTGCAAAGAGTCGCAAAAAATCTCTAAAACTATTTTAAATGGACACAACCTCATCATCCATTAAAAACTTGGGCAGCATCTGTGGCTGTCTATACATTTGGTGTTCTTCACAGGACAAATGCACTGCAGGAGCTTAATCTGAAAGTTAGGACCACTCTTACCAAGTATAGCGTGCACCATCCCAACAGTTCAATGGCAAGACTATACTTACCTCGGAACGAAGGAGGTAGAGGACTTCTGGATTTTAAGTCCTTGTGCGCGCAGCAAATCAACAATCTTGGCACATACTTCCTTCAAAAAACGACGGTGTGCGTGAAGCAATTGAAACCACGGACAACACCTTTACCGCACTAACCTGACTCAAGCGGACTCAGAGACCATGTATCACCAAAAAAGATGGGTGGACCCAGAAGCGTTTGCGCTACAGGTTTCCTGCAGAACTCAAAGGGAACGTTGTGAATATGGGATCGTGAGTCTCCTGGCTAACACAAGCTGGCCTCTTTGCTGAGACAGAAGGCTTTATCATTTCAATTCTACACGAAATAACCTCCATTCGCAATTACCAAAGGTATGTGATTGGGTATGAGTGTAGAGGGCCGCTGCCACCTTTGGAATCAACCTGGCGAAACCATCCAACACATAATGGGCGGGTGCTTTTCTTTGGCATAAACAGAACACCTGAGTAGGCACAACAACGTTGCTGTGGTATAAAGCACTGGCTGCAAAGTCAGAGATGGTACAGAAAGATGTCCCAAACTACAAGTTCAAGCCGGATTTAGTTTTGGAGTCGAAACGGTGGAAGCGTTAGTGGATTTAGTGGATTCTTGCCGTCACCACTGATCACAGAGTGGAAGCCAACACACCTGGCATAATATGGACAGGCATTTTTTTTACGGACAGGGATTATATTCGACTATCCTTATATATCCAAATATAGATGCCACCATTACATCAGGCCTTGGTTATTGAAAACATCAGGCCTTAATTATTGAACTGAGCGACATGAGGCGGTATCTGTTGATGTAGACCCTGTGGTCATCTTTGCAAAAGGACTGATCGCTGAAAAACTAACTTCACCGTCTGTTAGGCTTGGTCTTAAGAACTGGCACAGTCAGCCCATGCAAAACTCTGTTCTCCTGAGTACTGCACGCATCGTGAGGTTTTTATTGATATAATTTCACTTCGAATCCTGACCACCCGAGTTTGCAGGCGAAACAAGTAACGTGGTTATCGAAAGGTCCCGGTGTCTGCTGTAGGACACCTTGCTAGGCGAGAGACTTGAAAGAAAATAATACATCTTTCTTTCTAAAAATGAACTTTCGGCTCGAGGGACAATTTCTTAACAGAAAATAATATACTAACATGAAATAAGATTAAAGAAGGATACAGCATATAATGACAAAGACAAGATATTGAAACAATATAAGACGTAAATATACAAATACTTATTACTAACTAATAAAACATGCAAAACGTGTAACTACATCGCATCTCACGCAATTCCCTAGAAGATTCCGGAAACAACGCACACTACAGGAAAAAGTAGCTGGTACTGCAGCAGGTAGATAGTGCCAGCCAGTTATCCCGTTGATAAAGGAATATTTAGCTACAACCAACGGTTTTTTGCTTCCTATATTTAATTTAAAAACGATGATCCCCTCTTCTGAAATAGAGGGTTCCGTGTCCTAGTTCGAATGTGTTGATGTAGTGTCCGTATGTAGTGTCTTTATTATGTGTTTGTTAATTATATTTGGGTTTGTTGTTGGTTTCTATGTGTGAGGTTAATGAGTATTTTAATAACATGCAGTTAGGTGTGTAATGCAATGTCCTTGTAAGAGTTTAAGAGACCAGGTGGTTACAAATACCTCTGCCCGTACATTTGAGAATTTATTTGTTCATATCCCGTAACTGTTTTTGCTACTTTTAGTGCTAAATTAGATTGAATTTATTTCTCTACGATTATATTTTTGTTTACAATATACTTAAGATTTTTTGTTAACATTCTATTAGCTATTTATTTTATGAGTGTTCCATTAATACTTACGTTATTAATTATTTATGCGGGTCATTATTATGTAATTCACGCAGTAAAAGGTTTTAGGTATTTTGCTTCCACGCCATTTTATACTCTGAGAAAGGTCAATTGCGAACATCACCATGCTATTCAGTATCGAGCCACGCTGACATTGCTACAACTCATTTATTCCTCGCCAACTATTGTTTTTTTTTTGTTTTGTGTAATCCCTTGTTACTTTGTTTTGTGTAATTCCTTGTTACTTACCTACATTCACATGCATTATGTCTAATATTAACTACTTGTATTAACTCTACGTAAGATTAACAATACTTATTTCATGCGACAAATTGCAACGTGCAGACGAGCCGGCCATCGTATCCCTCTACTCCAAATTTGTCATTCCCTGCGTCGCTTGACCCCGTGGGATCCACCCATGCCCCTCGTCCGCCTCGAGCCAAAGAGGCCCATTGGTCCCAGCGTGTATCCGACCGTTTGCGGCCACCACCCGCCTCCACCGACTGGCGTTACTACACAGACACACACAGATGTTCAATAATCTCACGCGGTTTATAGAATGTTCTTGAAACACGTTCAAATAGCATATGTGATGTCGATGAACCGTCAGAAAGAAAAGAATAGTGGAAGGATGGTCCTTGCGCTGATCGACGCGGAGAGGCAGAGCTTCAAGCAGACATTGAAGAAAATTCATAGAGATATTGTCGGAGATTCAGAGCAGACATTCAAAGTCACTCAGAATTGACAACGAATTTCTTTATTACGAACTCAGATTGATTTATCGTACGTTTCCGCGGTAATGCACGCGAGTCTACTGTGCCATGATGTTACAATGACGATCAAGCGCGTTTTGCATTTAACAACACTTGCTGCACACACGCTCGAATGTCGAATGACTGCCAGAAGTGTATAAGAGGCACTCGAGATTCGCGACAGGTCACGTTATCGGGTATTATCATCACATCTACTGTTCGTGCCTGGCCTATTATGTCCGACCTGGATTTGGAATTGCGGTATTTACTGCGGCATACTCACCCTTCAAACCCATCCCGAGATGCTGCCTGCAACGCGCCATCGATGTAGAACGCAGTCTGCCCATACTGCGCGTTCCGCGCAATTACCGTGCCATGTCAAGTGAAAGGTAATGGGCCTAATTAATTTATCCAAGCCGCTACCAAAAAATGCGACGGCAGTCGGTCACATTAAGCTTATAACACCTAAATCTAGACTTATGACTTACGTAAACGCATCTATTCTAATAAGATTTCCTTTTCTTTTTCATACACACGTATCCGTCACTTTGACGATGCGATTTCACGCTGTCACGATGCCACGTTTTCTAGTCTAAAATCTGTGTCATACCTCGACCCACGAACAGCCACTCTCCCTGAGAATATATATTAAAGAGAGCCAGTATTATTTTGGGTGAGGCCAGCACCATGCCCCCCTTTACATGCTTGATTCCTTTCTCACTTAATAAGCGAACAGGACATAAATTGGCACACCAACGTGTGTTCCTCATATAAGTGTATAAATAACATAAAAAGCAAGGAGAAACAAAACAATGAGCAAAACGTTTTTCATTATTAGTTTCAGTTAAAGACTACTGCATGTACACATGTAAAATAATATTATTACTGTTGGCTACTTACGAGAATTGCACACCAGCGTAGGGAAATCCAGATTGAAGGCACAAATCGATACAGTGCTTTGGCGAATTAGTAGTTTTCAAATTAGCGTAATACCCAGATAGTAGACGAAATGTCTTATTATCACGAAAACATCCTAGAGACTTGCCAGCAGAAAAACCTATAACAAATTTAAAAAGAAAACAGGAATATAAGCAATACCATACATGAGTCATCGTCAAATCGCACTCACAAAACATCACTTTTTGTTAGTGACTTGAAACACTTTTTATGCGGTCTAGGTTTGAAGTGAGGTGTCATGTATTTTTCCTTTTATTTCTAATCCCACCCCTTTCAGAAATATTACCAATTATTTTTTCGGAAAACCATGCGAGAACTAATGTTTAATTTTTTGCGCAAATACCGCATCCGTCAGAAAAATAAAATTACGTTTAAATTTAACGAATAAAGATTTACTTTTATATGTGAAAATAATTTTTGCAAACATTACTTAAACATTTAAAATATGTTTTAATTTCTAAAATATAAATGTTTACATTTGGTCGACACTTAAGTTAATTGTAAAAGTACTCATGTATTTCTACACTAAAGTATAGATATGCCAATTTTCAAAGTGGGGAACACATAAATAACTGTTTTTAAATAGATTGTTCACCGGAGCACATAGGCAGCCGGCAGCCCGCCCGACTCGCTACTCGAACTACAGGGCGTCAATGAATTGTGACATAAAGCAACCGTGAGACATGTCATGTTATTAATCGCAGAAACAGATACGGTATCAAATGGTAATCTGACGAAATGCTATTATTAAGTTTATTTATAAACAACTGACACTGCTAGGGTCAGCCTGAAACAGAGCAAACTTTTTTCTCAGATATACTGAGCCACTTGTGTAAACAGAGGAATCTGCGAAACATAAGCGTTATTCTGTAAAGACAGTAACGACAGCTAGGGCCGGTTGCGTAAAGCTTTCCATATGGGTTCCTTAGCAATGGGTTCAATAAAATTTATAGGTTCCATAGGTGGTGTCCCGTTGCATAAGGCAAACTTATGCAATATATATTTGTACAGATTCTATACAAACTTCTTCATGCAAGCAATAGATAGCGACACAGTCGATATTTGAACACTACTTATTCCTAACAGCGTTTTTCACGTTGTTAGCATGTGTTGCGTTCTATTGAGATATTTTTGGTTATGTTTCTTAATGCGTTCTCAGTAGCAATTTCCTTATATTTCATTATTTTCATTTTGGTTAATTTTTTTGTTTCATTATTATAGTATTTTAAATACAATTAATTCTTTATATTAGTCATTGCCTATTTGTATTAAATTAATTTACCTTCCATTCTTAAATTTAAGTATTAATTTTAATCTTTGCTGATACAATTAATAATAAATTAAAATTCAAAATGAACTATTCAAATCCCTTTGAAATACAAAGTAATAATTAATTTGCTATCTAAACAATTAAGTAGTACATGTGAATACAAGAAGAGCCCTTAAGTTAAGGCATTTAATTTGCCGAATACAGGCAAGCAATAATGCACTAAAATATGTCAAGAGTTAAAAAAGATTAATCAGAGGGTAATCATTTGAATTATTCAAATTTTATTTGTAATATTAATACTAGCACTTACAGGGAAACATTTTCATAATAGGTTTACAAATCAATTTTGTTATCTTCACTGGTTATTTATAGGAATGAAATCGTTTCACAACTGAAAATTATTCTTTATGACAAACCAAATTTCAGCATGATGACTGCAAATTAAATTTACTTATGATTTTACGAAGGGTTAAGCGTGAGCTAAACTGCTCTTTTACGAATCTTTGAATTACACCGCAATTGAAAAACTATTGCTTTCATTCATTGCACTCAGTTATTCACCACTACATTATACAATCAGGCTTTATTGCATCATGTATTAAAAAAAATATCTGTCCTCAAAAGAGGTTGGATGCCACACGTAAGCATCGGATCGAAGATTATTGATATTGGTGCTGGTGAAAAATAATTCAAGGAAGACAAAATATTATAGCAAAAATTAACAGTTTCATAACAAAATTTAATCCTTCTCGTCAAAATACATGCAAAAATAATGTATGAATATAGAATTTATTGATATTAAACACATACAAATACACCTAAAACGCACACAACACACCAAATAGAATTCCTAAAAGCCACCAAAACACAACACACGCACGCCAGGTACTACCAATAACCTCAAACAAACAGTTGTAGCAGTGCTCAGAGCCGCCACGGCATGAGAGAGATGAAATATAGACTCTCCAGGACGCGGCTTTACTTTCCCATATAGTCAATCTAGCTCTGGTTCGGGATCTTCTATAATTAAGTAGTATATACAAAGTTGGGAAGCTTTGCCAAAGCCCGTTTCCGATCCCGCACCACGGTGGCACAGTCCGCATTCCACCATTGCACGGGAGGATGCCGTGGGTGACCCGACGACTTGGGGATGGCAATTGAGGCCGCATGAAGAACGGCACCAGTAACATGGGCAACCATATCATCGATATCGTCTGGGCAGATGTCCGATATCCGTATTTCTTTCTCGAATATTTCCCACTCAGCTCGGTGGATTAGCCAGCGAGGGGGACGAGCAACGTTTGGGTCGGGAATATCGAAATTGACCAGAATGGGGAAGTGGTCAATGCCATGCATGCCGCCAAGGACAGTCCCCTCAAAGATAGTAGAAAGAGATGGACTGCAGAAAACAGATCAACGGACGAGGCGTTTGAAGCCACGGAAAATGTGTGCTTTCGCCAATATTGAAGAATTATGTTCTGGTTGTCAATAATATTTTCAGGTATATTGCATCTCGAGCATGTTCTAGTGCCACCCCAGGCGGGATTGTGGGCATTAAAGTCCCCCACAATAAGAAAAGGGGCGAGCAATTGAGATACCATATCTTCAAGTTCGTCTTGCAACACGATTTGGCATAGCGGGATATACACGTTGCAAATATTTATCAAGCGAGTCTCAGGAGTCGGGGTAAGTTGTTGGAGTTTCGGGGAACGATCTTTTTTGTTTGTCTGGGCCAGAACGCCAAGTGACATCCGGGTTCATGCGGGGCTGAGAAGTGGATTCTACGTCCAACTTCTCCTGTGTGGATTTCTTGGTCAATTTTAATTGGGGGAATTATCTTCACACCTTGCAGAGGCGATGTCTCCTCAAGGAAGTCCACTGGCAACAGAAATGAGCAACAGGGGGGAGTAGCACGTGAAGTCTGTCAACCCGCTATTGCTTTTGCCGTCTTGGCAGGACAATGAACGCCCGAGATCTATATAGTTCTTCACTGGGTCGGCGTTTCGCTTCGGGAAAAGAACTTTTTGCGTCACTCTGATCTTTTCTCCCTCTTCCTCAGACATATAGGGCACTTGTTCGATGTGACCGCACAGTAACCTTCACAATTAACACAGCGAAGTGGGGAGGCACAGGGATCCGTACCATGCGTGGATTTGCAGCACTTTGAGCAAACAGGACTTACGACCACGCACCGTTGTTGGGTATGGCCAAACCTCTGACAATTGAAGCAATGCAGGGGGTTTGACACACGTGGAGATTATAAAACTTGCAACTAATCCTCTCTAGGAGAGAGGGGAGATTAAAACGGCAGGATCAGTGGGAGTAGAGATCTTTCTCCCATTCTTTCCTCTTGATCCTAAAACACCTGCGTTATGCCCTGACTCTTCAAGAAAGGCAGACGTTCCTCACTTTCGGACGCAAAGTCATCGTGATTTGCCACTTCCCTACATAGGTTAAGGGTAGGGTGAGTGGTCACTTCCACCTGGAGGCCGGCAATCTGCTTAGTTTTTGAGATTTGCACATTGGTGCGTGCTTCGAAGAGAATTGTACCATTCCACTGACGCACCTCCGCTTGGAGTTTACCGAAACTGTCTTCAGTGGCTCGCGCGAGGCGAACCGCATTAGTACTTTTGAATGTTTTCCCTTCTTCCGTGCACGCCATCAAAGGATCAAACGTGGCTTCTTTGGTTTATCTTCTTCCCTGAGGAAAAATCTACTCAATCCACATTCTCTCAAAACATCGCCCCTTCCTTCCGGAAGAGGGCAAGGAGTTTGTTTTATGCTTAACAGAATTGAAGCGGATTCGTGTCCGTGCTCCCCACCCACCATGGAGTCCAACAAGGGGACACCCCATTGGGGTGCCAGGGTTGACACGCACATATAGTGGGGAGATGTCACAGCGCTGCCCCGCCGTGGATACCCCGCTCACCCTGGAGTGCAGTATAAGACCTAGTCCGAGCCGATTGCTAGGGAGTGGTTTAGCTCCATCCCTCTAGAAGAGTCAAGAGCCCAAAGCGTGTTGGAAGGATCCAATAAAAACAAGAAATGTTCCCCAAAATATGTAAACAACGTATCCCTAGGTGCAAAGCAGAAAGTAGTATTAGGAGTAGTTGGGAAATATACACCTCAACTTCCTCCAGGCATGCCATGAGGAAACGAGGCTTTTCGGTAGGTCATATTTTGCAAACAAAACTATTTCAAATCAATAGATTGTTCCAGATATCTCCTCTTCCTTGCGAAATGGGCGGGGGAAAAGGTTCAGAATCAATAGAGAAGGATTTAAGATTCTTTTCCGAGGTCCCCACCCACCACGGAGGACCTGGTGCTTCGGTGGAGCACACTCCTGCTGTAAGATGGTGAATTCTCGTACCTGGCGGTTTCTCACGACATCGCGGGAACTATCAGTGTTGTTAAATGATGGACAGCATATAACAACGCTGGATAATTTAATAACGCATCATTTAACAACGCTGATAGTTCCCGAGATGTGCCAAGCAGCCGCCGGGTATGAAAATTCACCAACTTACAGCAGGAGTTTGCTCCACCAGAACCCCAGGTCCGCCGCAAAAATGTAGTCAACCTGACCTGAAAACGTTTGACACTGCCGCCTTAACCGTACTCTCCCGGGTCTCAATTTCGCCGTCACCCCTCAAGCAGATTCCTACTGATGACGTCATCACCGCTGTGGAAACAGCTGTACGCGGGATACTGGAAGATCTCGCCGATGACAAGAAGGGACACGAGAGCTATTCTGACCCGCGCCACTCCCCCAGCTTGCATTATTTCACGTGATGAAAAGTTGGCTT